TTACTTTCTAAAAAGAAAAGGGTCTGACAAGAATAAGGGAGTATCCCCTAATCTTTGGCAAGAAATTCCTCTAAAACAGAGTAATGCAAAGATTACGATTTTAAAAGATCACTTGGGCTACTTTATGGTGAATGCATTAGATGAAAGCAAGAGTAGAAGTGGGGATTCCAGTCTTCCAGGTGAGAAATAATGGTGGAAAGTAGATGGATTTGAGAAATTAATTGGGCATCAAGGGTAAAGAAGAGGAAGAGTCAAAGATTATTATCAATTGTGACTAGAGTTTTCCACAAAGGCCTTAAGTAGACGTAAGCGGAAAACTTTAGGCTTTGCAGTACAGGCACAAGTAGGAGGGCTTGTCCTGATGCTGGCACAATAAGAAAGTCAAGGCCTATAACCTTTTCATTACACCAGGTTGACATGGCCCACCAAATGCACCGATACTGATACAAAGCAACGTGTTCCCACTTCAGTAATCTTCCAATCTAGAGAAACTTTAACTTATTGTGGCCACTGTGCCCACCATACATGAAACACTCCTTTATGAGCTACAAGCGAACCAATGGGAAGATGAGTCTACCTAACAATTTAACTCAATTTTACCCTTAACTCAGCTGATTTGCTGCTTGAGAAGTAAAAGTACCTGAGAGTTCAAGTTGTCATCTGTACCCACCCTCAAACTTTCAGCTTGAGCACTTGACTAGGTAGCTGGTGTTTTGCAATCTGAGATGGGTAACACAGTAGAGGAGGACCAGGCTTTTTGTTTTGTTGTTGTTATTGTAATTGCTGTTGTTACAGTTGTAGGAGAGGTAAAGAAAATAAGTTTGGTTTTGGATATGGATTTTAAGGTCACTTGGATACTCCACATGGAAACAGGAACTAGGCAATTGAATATATGGGTCCAGATACTCGAAGAAAGTTGTGAGCTAAAGATAAAAGGGTTAGAATCCTCAGCTCAATAGAAAGAAATCAAAATTATGGGCATGAATGAGACCACCTAGGGAGAGACTATAGTTAGAAGAGGGACAAGAACTGAAACCCTAAAGAAAACTCGTATTTGTTAAGGACAGTGAGGAAGCTGAGAAGGCAGAAATATACGTTTATAAATATATATATGGCAGAACAGATAAGAGAAGCATGGTGTCTGAATATGAAGAGGAAGACCATTTCAAGGAGAACATGATTAACAGTGTCAAATGCTACTGAGTCCTGTAAAATGAAAACTGTCCACTGGATTTTACAGCCAAAAGTTATTGATGGCCTTGGTGAAAGTTGTTTTGGTAGAGTGGTGGTAGCTAAAGTCAGAAATTGTTTTAAGAGTGTCTGTGAAGTGAGGAGAAGGCACCAAATATAGATAACCCTTGAGAAATTTAACCTTGAGAGGATGGAGAAGGATTAAAAGGAACATTTTAGGAAGCCAGAAAAGAGAGCAAAGCAATAAATGTATACATTATGAACATTTAATTCCACAAGTATTTACTTCTGTAAGCATTTATGGATCACATGAAAGGCACAGGGAGGGAACTGAGAATTGAGAGATGTACAGGAAACAGTCCTTCTCCTCTAGGTACTCAAAAGTTTAATAGGGGAGAGACACAGAAAAACAATTATGTATATAGACAGTGTAATAATAGATATATTGGATTTAGTAGCAGCATAGCAGTGGAAGTGGGAGTGTAGGTTTATCAAGAAGGAGATAAGGGAAGACGTTAGAAGTAACACTTAGGGGTGCCTGGGTGGCTCAGTCAGTTAAGCATCTCTGTCTTGATTTTGGCTCAGGTCATGATCTCGTGGTTCCTGAGATGGAGCCCCTCAGTTTGGCTCTGCACTGATGGCATGAAGCCTGCTTGGGATTCTCTCTCTCCCTCTCTCTCTGTCCCTACCCTGGTTTCACCACCTCTCTTTCTCAAAATAAATAAATTTAAAAAAAGAAGTAATACTTAAATTGAGTTACGAGTTCTTAAGTGTTTGCAAGGATGACTATGAGCAAGACATTCTAGACAGAGAAAAATGCATAGTTTATAGGAAACTACATAAGCCTCTATTTTTTAAAATTTTATTAAGTGTTTCTTTGAGAGAGAGCACGAGTGTGGGAGGGGCAGAGAAAGGGAGATAAGAGAATCCCAAGCAATTTTTATCTTGCCTGAGCAGAGCCAGACTTGGGGCTCAGTTTCATGAACCTTGAGATCATGATCTGAGCCAAAATCAAGGGTCAGTTGCTTAACCAATTGAGCCACCCAGGTGCCCCCAAAATTACACACAGCCTTTAAAGAGGGGTTCTTGGAATCAAACTGCCTGGATATAAATCCTGCCTCCAACATTACCAGCTCTATGACTTTGGGTCACCAAGTAAGCATTGCAAAGCTTCAAATTCATTACCTATAAAATGAAGGCTGATAATTCCTATTGCATAGGATTTTAGGGAGCTTTAAAAGCTCCCTAGCACTGAATTCAGTAGCAGGTACATAGCAAATACTCAATACATATTAACTTTATTTATTGTAGGATCTGAGATGCAAAAAGAGCGGTAAAGTATGAAGCTACAAAAGTTAATCAGGAACCAGATCATGATAGATTTGTCAGGAAAAGTCCACACTGTGCCCAGCATGAATTAAAACAAACCAGTACAATTATTAGAAAACAAACTGAAGTCAGGCTTAATTCTACTAAAAAAAAGTCTTCAGGAAGCAGCTTAATTATAATCTCCTGTTAATGAAGCCCGAGGCAACAGGTATGAACAAGTACCTTACAGGATACTAATTAGGAAGCTGAGATTGTTAACCTCTAATTGTGTAATTTGCAAATATATTTTTACATTACAACATCTTGTAATACAAAACATTATTTTCCATTAAGATTGTTGCAAAACTTCAGTTTTCTAATGTTTTTCTTTTTAGGTTTTAGTGTTTTTTTTTAATGAATTGGTAGCGTGGTAATACTTTGGTTTCAGTAAAAAATCTATTTCAAATCTACCACCAAAACAAAACATACCGAAATGAACTGGTCACATAGTGTCTGTCGCTCACCATGAGAGTTTGGTAAGGGCATTTTAAGAGTAGTTAGATTGCACAGAAAGCTGCAGCAGGATCTAAGGAAATCTACCTGGGAGCTGTGGCTTTCTAGCCTTTAGTCATAGTTTGAATGGATAGTTTTCTGTACTCCAAAAAGTCAGTGATTAATATTTAAAATTTTTATTCTGAGGAAGCCTTTTTCTTTTCCCTTTGGAAGTTCAACTTCTCACTTAATGTGAACAACATTCCCTCTATAGAAGGATTTGCTGCCTTAGAAAATTTTTTTAATGTTTATTTATTTTTGACAGAGAGAGAGACAAAGCATGAGAGGGGAAGGGGCAGAAAGAGAGAGGGACACATAGAATCCAAAGCAGGCTCCAGGCTTTGAGCTGTCAGCACATAGTCCTACAAGGGGCTTGAACTCCCAAACCGCGAGATCGTGACCTGAAGTCTGTTAACCTACTGAGCCACCCAGGCGCCCCTTTAAGATTTTATTTTTAAGTAATCTCCACATTCAATGTGGGGCTCCAGCTCACAACTGGAGATCAATAGTCACACGCTGCAGCCTCAGGGCCAGCCTGGCACCCGGACCTGTTCAGTGTTTTCAAAGCTAAAGTTATATTGGCTTAAACAAACAAACAAAAAATCTTCATTTGGGAATTTTCCATTCCTGATGAATCCAGGGGTAAAATCTTTCTACTGGAATTGTTAATGGTGATTTTGGTATTTGATATGGCATGTACCGTTAATGCTGTTTTTGATATTTGGTGTGGAGTGATTTGGGTTACATCCTGTGCAGTGTGCCTTAATTTCCCTAATTTTTTTCTGATGGTCTGAGCCTATAGACTATGCCTCTTTTTTGCATGTTTATGTATATATGTAATTGGGTTGCTTGTTCAAGATGTTTAATTAATCTCATCTAGTTGGTTTCTCGCAGTTGACTAGAAATTTCACAGGGTAGGAGGTCCTGAACTCCTGCCAGTAAAGTAGGTCTTATCTTTAGGCTTGTCTGCGCTTATTAAGCACACTGACTTGATCTAAGAATGCAGGGCAGACTTCTTCAAGCAGTGGCTTTGGATTTCAAAGTTTTGTTTTTTTCCCCCAAGACCTAACCAGTAACATCTACAACCCAGTACACGTGTATATGACTGAATAAAAAAATGCTGCTAAAGAAGACTTATTTGACTACCCGAGATATCCCTGAAATTTCTTACTCTCCTTCGTATAAAACAAAAACTACACGCCGTCCAGGTAGAAACCAGCTAACCAGACTTTATGAACCACTAACGGGTAAAGGCCGATGGCAATCGCTCCTCTAGCACTCTCCGCCGCTACCCCTTCCGTTATACCCTTCGAGAATAAGTCGTTGCAGCTGGGAAGGCGGCGACCAGTAAAGTCACGGAGCCAAACCAGCGCTTCGTCCCTGAAGGACGCAGTCAGGTCGCCTTCAGGGAAGCAGCCTCGGCTCGGTGGATGATGCAGGGCTCGACCTATTTCCCTGCCCTCTGGCTTCCTCGAAGTCCGTCCCGCCCCCTCCATCTGCTCTCCGTGAATTTAAATTCTCCCCTACAAAGTGCGCCGAGCGCCGAATGATCGATGTTTCCTCCACGCCCCGAAAGCCGCCATTTTGGGGGGAGGAAAATACAAGTAGGGGTGGCAGAGGCTCCACGGGATGCTGACTGGCTTTTGCTTCTCTTACCAGCACTGTGGGACTGGGGTAGAAGAATCCACCGGGACCACTCCTCCGGCTGCCTCTCCGGAATGAGGCTTCAGCGCCCGCGCGGGACAGCCCCCTTACTCATCCGAGAGTGAGTGGCAACCATCGGCGCGGCGCGCCATAGCGCGCCCTCCACTGTCAGTTACCCCGCGCGCTCCCGGCAGCGCGCGCCGCTCCCCGCGCGCTCCCGCCCCTCCCCCGCCGGGCTTGGAGCTCGGCGCAGACTCGCTTGTTTGTTTCTGCAGGAGCCCAAGGAGAGGCCGAAGCCGAGAAAGATGCCTGGGAAGCTGAAGGTGAAAATCGTGGCCGGGCGCCATTTGCCAGTGATGGACCGAGCTAGTGACCTGACTGATGCCTTCGTGGAGGTTGGTGCAAGGTCCTGCCCCTCAAAGCACAGGGAGTGCCAAGCCCTGTGAAGGATCCTACCCACCTCACCCCCAGCTCTTCAGCCCATTCTCATTTCGACTGTCGTCCTTTGTGCGGTGCTTGTCCAGCCGTCCCTTGAGGGCTGACTGACGAGATTGCAGCCCATGTGATGGGTGCAGCGCTCACAGGCGTCTGTGGCGCGCCGCGCGGGGAGGCAGTTACTGCTCTGCATGCTGGGGTGACCCTGATGTCAGGACTCATAACAGGCCACCTGCCAGTCAGGAAGCGATCCCGAGGCGTGGCCGCTCAGCCACCGAAAACACACACACGTACATTCTTCTGTTTAGGAGGGTGGCTTCTGACGCCGAAGTGATGGAGATCACGTTAAGAATGTAGATACAGTCCGTTATGGGCACTTGGAGACCTACAAGGCGTGGTGATCCACCCCTTAGCATAACATTCTCTGAATCATCAGTATTAAGTTAAAACACAGCTGGAAAGCTTTCTGCTCTTGTATAGACTGGTAGGTCTGATGAGCTGTTTTAGGGTAATTTAGTGCCTTGAGGTAGGAAGCCAATTAAGTGCCATGGATTTAAATTGCAAAATTGCTTTTTAAGTCAGATGATTAGTTTAAAGCTCATGCAAATTAGCACAGGCCTAGGGCCCGGAAGGTAATAACCCAAAGTCTGAAAGAAGCCAAGTAAAAATTGTAGTGAAAGTTGACATGATGAGCCAGAGCATTAGAATAATAATTATTTGGGCTATTAATGCTTAGAGTTGATAGCTACAGGATAATATACAACCTGATTTCATATCAATCTAAAATATTCTCTTCTTTAAAAAAAATTTTTTTAATGTTTACTTTTTTATTTTTGAGAGAGAGAGAGAGAGCGCGCGCGCGCGCGCGAGCGTGAATGGGGGAGGGGCAGAGAGAGAGGGAGACACAATCTGAAGCAGGCTCCAGGCTCCAAGCTGTCAGCACAGAGCCCCACCCAAGGCTCATACCAACCAGCGTGGGATCATGACCTAAGCCAAAGTCGATGCTTAACCCGGCTGAGAGCCACCCAGGCACCCCTCAGTATAAAATATTCTTGATGTTCCCTAAAGGTTTTCTGACTTAATAATTGCAGTTTTTCCTCCCAAACATTGCTATAGTTATTCTTAATCCCAACTTCATTTTCATTTGAGAAAACATGTTGTGTGTGTTCTTGGGTCAGCTGTTAGGTAATGGAGATTCACAGATTACCAAAGCATAGTCTTTGCTTTTAGGTAGCTCAGAGACTGACCCATATAGTTGAGGTTAATAACTAATAGCTAACATTTGTTGAGTCTCATTATTGCCAGGTTTTTGTTAAGCACTTTTTAATTCTTATTACAACAGTCCTGCTATTATATTATTATCCCATATTACAGTTAAGGTAACGCCTAGGAACAGTAAATAATTTGCCTAAGATTTCTTAACCATGTAAATAGCCTTGTGGTCTGTTCTCTTAACCACTGTGCTAACATTGCCTCTCTGGACAAGGTGATGAGTGTTGTCGAATATGGAAACTTCATTCTGTCTCTGAAAGTTTAGGAAGTCTTACTAAGAAAATGACATTTGAGCTGAACCTTGAAGGATACTCAGGATGTTACCAGACAGAAGGAACGTCAAAGGCACAGGATGGGATACATGGTATGTTCAGGGAACTATCTTAGTTTAGGATGTGTCTGGGAGTAAAAGGGAATATGTGAGTAGTGGAGGTTGTGGGGGATGAGCCTGGAAAGGCAGGTTGGTGTCAAATCTTGTTTTCTGTACTGAATAATTTTCCTTTATAAGCAGGGGTAAGCAAAGAGAACTTTTTTTTAAATGTTTATTTATTTTTGAGAGAGAGAGAGAGAGACAGAGTGTGAGTAGGGGAGAGGCGGAGAGAGAGGGAGACACAGAATCCGAAGCAGGCTCCAGGCTCTGAGCTGTCGGCACAGAGCCCGATGCGGGGCTCGAACTCATGAACTGTGAGATCATGACCTGAGCTGAAGTTGGTGGCTTAACTGACTGAGCCACCAGGCACCCCGCAAAGAGAACTTTTTAAGCAGAAATGAAATAAGGTGATGTTTGTATTAGGTTGTTTATAGGATGACTTGTATGATAATGTTATTGATGAACTAGACAGGTGAGAGTTGAGGCAGGGAGATCAGTTAAGAAGGTGGTAAAATTATCCAGGCAGTACGTGCGTGTTGAGAATGGCTATGGGAACCAACTAGAGGAGAAAGACTTAAGGGACATTTCCTAGGTAAAATAATGCCTTGGGAATCAATGGTTTTGCTGGTAAGGGAGGGGTTGGATTTAAGAGTGACTTATTAATTCGTTCTTCCAGCAAATACTTATTAAGTGCTATTTGCCAGGTCCAGTGCTAGTCACTGGTGTAGCTGATGCGTACGTAATAGTGAACAAAATAGACTTCGTTCCTGCTTTTATGGAGTTTATATTTTGGTGGAAGAGACAGACATTAAAAAGCAAAGAAATGATTAAATATGTAACTGTGATGAGTTACATGAAAGCAATAGAGAGTAACAGGGAACATCTGTTTTAGATTGGGTAATTGGGGGAGACCTCTGAGGAAGTGTCCATCAGAAGACCTGCTGGATGAGAAGGAGCCAGCTGCTTAGGGAGTGTATTAGGAAGTGAAGGGAGATGTGTATGACTGGCATATAGTGAGTAAAGGAGAAAATGGTGTAAGATAAAGTTGTAGAGTTAGTCAAGGAGCCAATCGTTCAGGATCTTAGAGGCCGTGATTGGGAGTATGGATTTTATTCCAAATTCTGTAGTAAGCGGTTGTTGAGATGAGTACTCTTTTTTGCTACCTGGAGTATGAACTGAAAAGAAAGAACTGAAAAGAGAAAGCTATTCGGAAGCAAATAGCTAATTATGAGATTCTATAATAGTTCAAAAAAGAGAAGATGGGGGCCAAAATGTTGGTTTGGTAATAGAGAGAAGTGGATGGATTCCAGATACACCATGAAGAGGGATTCTAGAGGAATTATTGGTCGACTGGAGTAGGGGACCAGGGAAAGGGAAACTAAAAGATGACTCTTAGTTTTCTGGAATTTTGGGGTAATTTTCTGAGACTCCATGGGATTGGTAGAGATTGATTGAGTAGATGAAGAGTCAGTTTCCGTCCAGGTGTGTTAAGTTTCAGATGTCTTTAAGAACTTTAATTGGAGTTGTCAGTGAGGAAGTTAGATTTGTGAGTGTGGTGTTTAAAAGAGAGGTGTGAGTTAGAAATGAGCTCATACAGGCCAGTGCTTTTCAATTCCGTGAGACCCAGTACCCACTTTATATAGCAGGTGTTTTGAAATCCACTCTTTACTACGCTGGCATGATATTTATAGCTGATGTAAACAATCCTTACAATTAAAAATCAATATATTGCTCTAAGTATAGTATGATAAGAGACTTTTTAAAATTTGTATTTCAATATGGAAGTACTTGTTCATGAACATAGTAGAAGATGCAAAGTAATCAGATTGAGAACATGAATGTTTATTAAGCCTTTGTATATACCCATCACTGTACTGAGTATAATACAGTGTGCTGGGGATAATAGCAGTGGATTAGACAAAAATTTCTTTAATCATGGAACTCACATTTTAGTGAGAGGAGGGAATTCATAAAGAAGATCATTAAAGAAAAGATAAACTCTGTTAAATAGAGAGAATATGGAGAAAATAAAGCAAGGATACAAGAGAGGGAGTGCCTCACTTTGTATAAAAATCATATGAATCTGACTTCGTAGAGAGTGAGACAGTTGTGCAGTTTTGACATCTCAGATGGCCTTCATTGCTATCTGATTTTTCAAAGTAGTCAACTCATGGGAAAAAGCAGAATTTTCTCTTAATTTACACGTTGGTTCTATTTCTTGACAATTATGTATATGAAAACTCCATTACAGTACTTTTATCTGTAGAATGAGATGGGTTTTTAATCCTTTGTGACTGTCTGGTAGGACATTTGAAAATCATGAGGCAAGTCTTCATTGTAGGGGACTATTTCTTACATTGCAGGACACCTACCTTCTCTGGTCCTTCCTCCTAAATATTACTATTGTTCCCCACAAAAACACCCATAGAAATTTCTAAAATTCCCTTAGGAGTTGGTTCTGTCCCTTTTTTTAAACCTCTGAATGAGGGGAGAGAGAAGAATGGATCCTTGAAAAAACTTGATATTAAATGTCTATTAGAGGAGGGGGACCAGGGGAAGAAAAGGGAAATTATCAGCCACTTGGGGGAGAGAAAAATCAGGAAAGTAATGTCTGAAAAGGCAAGAGGGGAAGTTTCTGGAAAGAGGAAGCCCTCAACCATTTAAATGGCACTGAGGGGGTCAAGTAAAGAAGACAGAGAAATCACTGTATTGGACAATATGGAGGTTGTTACTGATGCCAACAAGAGGAATGTGAAGGAAGCCCATATTGTAATGACTTAAAGAGGGCTAACAAGGGGTACAAGGGAGGTGAGGAAGAGGTGTGGCAAGAATGGACAATTATTTAAAGAAATACAGCTGTGAAGAGAGGAGAAATGGTGTGTTATTTGGGGAGTATGTGGCTTTCAGTACTTAAGTTAGAAGATATTAGAACATATTTGTGTGGTAACAGGAAAAATCCAGCAGAAAGGGAAAGATTAATGCAGGAAAAAGGGGATAATGAAGGATTACTGTATAATAAAGGGATAAATTGTGTGATGTAGACTGTAAGTGCTGTATAAGCTCATAAGAGAGGGAGATAATGGTGCCTGAGCTGGTCATGAGAAGTCTTTGTGCTGGACTTGAAGGATGGTCAAATTTCTATAGGCAGAGAGGAAAAAAGGACATTTTTCAGATGAATAGGATAAACTTGGTAAAAGCAAAAGGAGAGGGATAGAGCATATGTAATTGAAGGGAGGATTCTTGTGGGGAATAAAATTTGCTAGGTAGGGAGATGCAGATTATTGAATGGTCTGAAAACTACGGGGTGGAAGTTTGTAC